CAAATCAGTGGTCAGCTTGTAGAATTTCCTAGATTTTTTTTCAGCTTTACCTGAGTCAGAGTGAGAAGCATTTTCAGTGCATAGTCCTTCATTCACTTAAGCAAAAGGTAATATCCATTTCTTCACAGAACTGAAGTTGTAAGAGTTGAAGCAGACAAAGGGAAAAAAACAGTTCTCCAGCTAAAGGTATCAGCCTCATAAACAACCACTATTGGGCTTAAGGCCACCAAGTGTCATATCAGATATATATGAAAGGATGGGGGGAAGAATCCTTGGCTGTAAATCCTTGAAAATATATTGAAGAATCCCTTATATAATTCCACTAAGTAGACAATCAACTGTTGTATATGACTGAATTGTTGTCTGCAATAAAGATTTTAATCTAGCTGAAGCATGACTATTAGCCTGCTGCCACGTCAGGCTGAAAAATTGACCTAAAACTGTGAAGTATAGTTTACTGTAATTTATTGCCAAATCCTGTTGAAAAAGTCTGACAGCTTGATTAACCCCTTTCTGATTCAGAATAGCTTGGGTTTAAATAACTGCATGAATTTTTGTGGCACACCGGAGAGCTAACTTTGAGGATTTGATCAAGCAAGTGATTGCCAGCTAGGAAATCCATCACTTATGAAAGGGTTAGTGTTGGGGGGAAGAATAATGCTATGGGCAAGAATGAAAGAGGCTTAACTGACCAGTTTAAAGACAGACTATCAGATGAAATGCAAGATGAGCTCCTCCATCAAGGCATCCAAAAACAGATGACAGCATTAATCAACAACTGTCTGTATTGATGGAAGACTTGAAGAACGGGGTATGGGAAGAAAGCAAACATACCTCGATTCTTTCATTCTCTCCTTTATCTCCCTATCCATACAAGATAGACTTTACAACCTACACAATTACAAAGTAGCAGAGACTGAGAAAAATTATACCAATGCACATGTGGGAAACCTGACTTCACACATGAATGCCCTGCTAAAGGCATTACCACTACCAAGGCATAACAAAATGTCATTGTGAACAAAAAAGAATTTCTCATGAGTAGAAGATGTATTGTTAGGTAATGAAACAGTCCCAGTCCCTGAGGCTCAGAAACTGAGACAACCAGTATGGCCCAGACATGTGAGTTATACGACAATATTTAATTGTCCCTATTACCTTAGTAAGCCAGTGTGGCATAGGATACAACTGTAAGCCACAATAGATTTTGGAATCACAGATAAGTTCAGTAAATTACCCACAAAAATAGGCTTTGCCCATTGGAAATTTTGATGGTTTGCACTTATACCCATTGCAGAGTGTTCAGAGATTTTACAATTCACCATTAGCCAATATCAGGAAACCTGCCATTTTATTACACTCACACTGTATGTCAGGTGTGCCTCCATCAGTAACAAGGAAGAAAACTCTCAATTCCATTGTTTGTGAAAATTAAGATACTTTTACTAGTTATGAAAAGATAGCAGCGAAAGAAAAGCAAGATCTGACCCCAGGATCTGCAGGGGCCCATTTCCCCCTTGGTGAGGCTCAGACGGCTGCTGCTGCTGGGGCTCTCCCATCCCTATCACCTCCGCTGTCAGCCCCCAGGGCTCTCTCTGGGTTAGTCAGACTTTCCGCACATCTCTCTTCTTGCTCAGCAAATTCAGCTTCCCTCTCAGCACGGCTTTCACAGTAATGGCATTTCTCCCATGCCTCTTGAAGAAGTTTCAAAGCATGAGTCGTCATGAGGTCCTCTTGCTCACCCTCCTGCCAGGTAGACTCAGGTCACCGGCGTCGGCTGATGGTAACTCTGGCAGGAATCTCCTCAGGATCACTCCTCTGTCCCACTCCCATCTGGGATGGACAGATCTTTCCTCCAAATCCAGTTAAGCCATCCATTCCATTTCCAGGGGATAGGTGGATCTGGTAGCCCCCATGTCCTCCTGGTCACTCCCTGGATTGGACATTGTTATTTTTCTTTGTGTGCATTCCCCTAGGAAGGTGTTAGGTCCGGGATAAGTGTGAAAGGCAGATCTTGCTTAATGTCAGGCATGCCTCCATCAATAACCAACAAAGAAAACTCTCAATTCCATTGTTAGTGGAAATTAAGATACTTTTACTAGTTATAAAAAGATAGCAGTGAAAGAAAAGCAAGATCTAAGCCAAAAAGGCACGAACAAGTACATATCAAATAATTACCCAGCCCCCTCCCTCCAATGACCCCACCCCAGTGTCCAATCTGCAACTCCCTAAAGTGTCATGTGGATTGCATCTTCACAAGGCATCATCAGGTTGGTATGTGAGGTGTTGGCCTTGACCAGACTCAAACACCGGCCACCAGCATGCGCAGAAGATCATGAGAACAAAACTCCCTTTTCCATGTCTCCTCCAGTACCATATAATTCCCATCCCAAATACCACGCCCCCACCCTCCCCGTTTCTATGGCAGTCGATAGCAAGCAAGTGAAGCAGTATTTAAAAGTCCACGTAATGGATTAGCTACAGATGCACAATCCACATATTCATTAGATCCATGATAACATCATCTTTGACTCCTCAGAATGCAAAGCTTACAGATTGCAAAAACTCCATTCTCTTCATTCAGCAAGTGCACTCTCCAACTTAGCCTGTTGAGTATATGGATAATTCTGATAGGTTTGCAGGGCACAATGGCTCAGCGGTTAAAGACACTGAGTTGGTTAGCTGGGAAGCTGACATCCAGGTTTGAAACCCAAGTGCCATTCCTGCTCCAGCTGCTGCCCACCTAGTAGTTCAAAAGCATGCAAATAGATAAATAGGTACCACTTCAGTGGGAAGGTAACAATGTTCGGTGCACCTTTGATATATAGCCACATGACCATGGAAATAGTCTTTGGATAACGCTGGCTCCTTCAGCCTAGAAACGTAGATGAAACTGCCCCTTAGAGTCAGACATGACTGACAGGGAATCCTTTACCTTGATGTGTTTGCAAAGGAAGAATCACAGAACCATCCTGTCAGTTTTATGACTGAAAAATCAATCTTATTGATTCACACAAAATGTCACTACCTAATGTCAAATACAATTTGGCTTGTCCAAAGACATTGAATGATAAGAATCTATAGAAAAGTTTGAACTCCCTTATGCCAGTATTTCTACTATTTTTCAAGAATACCCTTATATGTAGTCCATGAGTATCAGCTCCTGAATTTTGTAACCATTAGGGATTACTACCTACAGACAATTATTTCTGAACTCTTAGAAGAGTTGAAGAAAACAATCATTTTACCAAATTGAGGCATACAATTTGAAGGGAGTGGTGGTACAATAAAATGATTTTGATTGTAAATATTGGAAGAAAGAATAAAAATCTATATCTTTTGACCTCCAGCTGGCAAAAGTAACTTCTAAAGATTCACAAATTTCATTTTCCATTATTTTCTGGACAATACTTTGATTATCTATTTAAACAATTTGCTTTTCTCTAAAGCTCCTGACTTCCATGCCACTCAAGTTCAAACAATTCTTCAATACTTTCTTGTCAGGCCCACTGGAGACCAGACCATGAAATCAACTTCTCAGGAAGGCTAAAAGTACCTTTATTGATATTGGCTGTAATAACAGAAACCTGAAAACCTGATTGTGCTGTTTCTCCTCTTCCTCCTGCTGGTTCAGTGAAGTAGAGATGTCTACCTAAGCTTCTTCCGAAGGTTAACTGGCTATTCTGGACTTTAAAAAAATACTTCAGTTCCTTTTGCCTAAGTAAAAGGTTCTGCATATCTCTATCAAGGTCATCTTCTCTACTCTTTATATCTCATGACTACAGTCTCTAGGCCAAGGGCATCAACTGGCAGTGAGTTTGNGACAAGTGGTGTTCAAAAGTCAGCTGTGGGTCCAGGAGAAAATTACATGGTTTGAAGAGCCTGGTTGAAAAAAACAAAGGAGAAATAAAGGTTTGCCTCAGATCATACAGTATATAATTCTACTTTTTGACTTATTACAAAGATAAAATCTTTGTACAAGAAGTATTCTCTGGAATCTGCCAAAATGAAAATTGATTAAAAACCTTGTCGTACAATAACCGGGTGAACTCTTTTACTTACTTTAGTTTTACTACTCAAGTCCTATGAGTTTATATCCTAGAGCCCTTGGCTAACAAATACAAAGCTGAAATATGCCCCATTAAAAATAGGCAATCTGGAGAGGAGCCAATTTGGCTAATTTTATGGCTTATAATTTTAAACTTGGAACTAAATGGATCATTAAGCTAAGAAAGTAATCCTGAAATGGAATAGAACACAGCTGCTATAGCTGCAGCACAGGATGTCCTGGCTTCCAGTAGGTTTTATCCTGTCTCAAAAAGAACTATGGAATTTTGTATAACTGGGTAATATTAAAACAGATCTATCTCCACAAGTGGACTGTTTAGAAGAGCACAAATACACAGCAACAAAGAACCACATGAAACCCAACCAAAGAACCACCAAGACCACTCCCATCACCATTGACAGGGCAAGCCACTAGAATATAAAATGAGAGCAAACTTCACTCCCTGTAGCATGATCATGTTATCTAGTTTGGGCATTGAAACATTTTCAAGAAAACAACCAAGCTTAGAGGGCACCAGAGACCTTCTTATTCTATTCGTGTTATGCCACATTTGAAGAATAGGAGGTTATGTACATTTAAATATCTCCTTGCGTCTTATTTTATCCAAGATAATTATGCTGCTTTTTGATATATCAAGTAAGCTTTCTTTAAATACTGTTAAATATTTTATGTTCAACTTACTCAAAGTGTTGCAAAGGAATAGTTGGTTTTTAAATATAACATGCACTTGGAACTTTAGTGACCGTTTGTAATATCATATCTTGCAACTTAACTGTTGTGGAAACAGACTAGATCTTTTTAAAATATCTTCAGATTAGCACATAAGATTGTGGTAACATACTGTGGAAATAATTTTTATAGAAGTATCTATTTTATATGTAATAAAACTGAATAAATACATTTTTAAATGCCTGTTCTCTTTTTTTATCTAGCTGCAAGACTTAAGATAAATGAAGAATTCAAAAGTAATAAAGATGAGACTTCTCCTGAAAAAATAGCTGAGGTATTTGCATAGAAATTGGTTTCTGTTATTGAATACAATCCTGTGTGGCAGTTTAAGTTAGCTTAACTATTACAAAATATACTAATTCTAACTATGTATTAACTATATGGAGCAGATTAGGAACAGAACAAGGATCGTGATTAAAAGCAAACAATTGTGCATGTCTCTGTACAATTTATTTTATTTATTTGTTTGTTTGTTTGTATGTCAAATATGTACAAGATAACAAGCATAGGGATGAACATAAACAGGAACAAAGAAAGTAAATACAGATAAATGGGGACAGTAGGACAGGGGCGTTAGGCATGCTGGTGTACTTATGCATGCCGCCTTTATGGACCGCTTAAGAATGGGGTGAGGCCCACAGTAAAGTGTTTGAGATTGAAGCTGAGAGGGTTTGAGGCTGTAACAACGGAGTTGGGTAGAGCATTGCAGGCGTTGACCACTCTGTTGCTGAAGTCATATGCTGAAGAAGTTGTTGACAGGCAAGACATTATAGCAGACAATTTTGTGTACTATGCTTGGATCGAACTGCAGGTGGCGCAGTTCCAGATTGACCAAGCCCAAAATTTCAAGGCTGGTGTCATAGGGAATTCTATTGTGAGTAGAGGAGTGGAGTACTCTTCTTGTGAAATATCTCTGAACCCACTCAATCATGTTAATGTCCAATATACAGTGTGGGTTCCAGAAGGACATTTGGACATGTATTCAAGAATTGGTCTTGCAAATATTTTATATGCCCTAGTTAGCAATACAGTGTTACTGGAGAAAAAGCTTCACAAAATTAGGTTTACAAAATTAACAACTCTTAATGCCTTTTTGGCAATGCCATTATAGTAAGCTCTGGGGCTTAGATCGTTTGAGATAAGTACTCCTAGATCCTTGACAGAGTGAGGATCATCTACGAGATCATTTCTGCCCAATTACCATTCTGCCCAATTACCATTATAAAAGAGAAACTATACAGTGAAACTGACAAAATACAAATGTAATCTATATATTTATATCTGAAACCACAGTTTGAAAGTCAATGGCTAACACTCTTTTTTATAGTGACAGTTTTTCTGCTTCATATTCAAAGGGAAAGATAGTGCAAAGCAATAATCAAAGATGAATTAGGAACAAGCAATTGTTGAGCAGAGATAACAGTTATTCTATTTTTCTTAGAATTCTATCCTTTACAACATTTTTATTGTAGCTTGAAATAGAGAGAATAGTCTGGAGACTCCTAACCTTTAATAATACAGGTAGTCCTTATATAGCAACCACACAGGACTGGCAACTGTTGTTAAGCAAGTTGGTCATTAAATAGGAAATCAAATTACTGAAATTGTGCTTCCATTTCACTGCCCTTGGAATGCTCACTCCAGTGCTGTGATAATTAACAAGAAGGAGATTAATATTTGTATTTACACTCATTGGAGAGGAAGGATTATAAGAGACTACGCAGACACACAATGGGGAATATACATTGAAAGGAAAGTGGTGGCACTGGCAGCTCCAATCATATATGAGCTGGGAGCCATGAGCACCATATACAAATAACCTGGTTTATTCCCCCTTATGTGCCTGCTTGGTCTCTTATAAACCCTTCCTCTCCAATCTCACTGCTGTACAAGCTACAGGGACCACTGGTCAGGCACAGGATAAGGCTTACTGATCATAATGGTGATCACATGACTGAGGGATGCTGACAAGGCAATTGGAAAGTGAAGACTACTTGTAGGTACTTTTGAATTTTGAATATATGCTATGAACATTCCCTCAACACGACTGCTCTGGTAGTGTGGTCACACAATTTACTAAAAGGCAATTGATTAGAAGATCCCTGCTACCATTTCTTGCCTGTCCCAAAACTTTTCAGTTTACATACTCATTTGCAAAAATTTCTATCTTTAGAGTAAATATAATTCCAAAAGAGAATTGAATGAGTATCCCCATCACTTATATATTTAAAGAATGCCACTTGGAGGGCACCATGAGAAGTTCCTGCTGTCACTTGGAGGAAGCATATAGGGAGAGCTATGTTTTGGAATTTTGTAGGTGCTAGCTAGTTTCTAATGATACCGGTTTCTTATTTCTTATTAAAGCATGGCTAAATAAATCTATACATTTTTTGATTAATCAGTAAAGATCCTGAAGCAGAGAGTTAAATTGCCTACAATTTCGTCCCTTTTGTATTTAGCAGAATATATTACTATCTCCCCCATCTGATATAACTCTTATTTTAAACGTTATTAGTGCATGGGTTAATAAATATTATATTTTGTCACCTGTGCCAAACTAGTGAATAAGCTCTTTTTGTTGTTCCATTTCAGAAACATTCCCCCATTCATTGAATTCTTTTCCTAAAAATGCCACCATTTATAAATAAATGCTAGTTACCTGACAGATGAAAAAGAGGGAGATTCTGCTTAAAAGAAAAATAATTTGCCTGTAAAACAGGAACAAGTTCTTTTATGTGCATGCAGCATATGTGTATGGACAACTTTAAATGAATCAATCTTTGACATAGAGTCTTGCAGAAATTGGCATAGTAGATTCCATTATTCTGTAATTTTATCTCTCTTAAAATTGGAACAACTCTAATTCCTTGAATTATAGCTATTTACCCTGTTTCCCTGAAAATAAGACCTCCCGGGATAATAAGCCCAATCGGGCTTTTGAGTGCTTGCACTAAAATAAGCCCTTCCCTGAAAATAGGCCCTCCCTAAAAATATTGCAACACAGCAGCTGCCATGAGGTGACCATGCTCACCGCTTCCTGCACCTCAAAAATAATAAGACCCAGCTGAAAATAAGGTCAAGTGCTTATTTGGGGGGGTCAAAAGAAAATGACCCTGTCTTATTTTCAGGAAAACACGATAATTTCTTTTGCCTGAAGAAAAAAAATATTCTCAAATTTAGGAAGTGTTCATGTGTTCAACAATATTAAACTCTCAGATGTAAAAAATGAATTTCTGAAGCTTTCACAAAATCTTAGCAGATTGAAAATTGATAGCTAAAATAAATGCATGCATATTTTTTTTCATACAATACAATACAATAGCAGAGTTGGAAGGGACCTTGGAGGTCTTCTAGTCCAACCCCCTGCCTAGGCAGGAAACCCTATACCGTTTCAGACAAATNAAGGCATCATCAGGTTGGTATGTGAGGTGTTGGCCTTGACCAGACTCAAACACCGGCCACCAGCATGCGCAGAAGATCATGAGAACAAAACTCCCTTTTCCATGTCTCCTCCAGTACCATATAATTCCCATCCCAAATACCACGCCCCCACCCTCCCCGTTTCTATGGCAGTCGATAGCAAGCAAGTGAAGCAGTATTTAAAAGTCCACGTAATGGATTAGCTACAGATGCACAATCCACATATTCATTAGATCCATGATAACATCATCTTTGACTCCTCAGAATGCAAAGCTTACAGATTGCAAAAACTCCATTCTCTTCATTCAGCAAGTGCACTCTCCAACTTAGCCTGTTGAGTATATGGATAATTCTGATAGGTTTGCAGGGCACAATGGCTCAGCGGTTAAAGACACTGAGTTGGTTAGCTGGGAAGCTGACATCCAGGTTTGAAACCCAAGTGCCATTCCTGCTCCAGCTGCTGCCCACCTAGTAGTTCAAAAGCATGCAAATAGATAAATAGGTACCACTTCAGTGGGAAGGTAACAATGTTCGGTGCACCTTTGATATATAGCCACATGACCATGGAAATAGTCTTTGGATAACGCTGGCTCCTTCAGCCTAGAAACGTAGATGAAACTGCCCCTTAGAGTCAGACATGACTGACAGGGAATCCTTTACCTTGATGTGTTTGCAAAGGAAGAATCACAGAACCATCCTGTCAGTTTTATGACTGAAAAATCAATCTTATTGATTCACACAAAATGTCACTACCTAATGTCAAATACAATTTGGCTTGTCCAAAGACATTGAATGATAAGAATCTATAGAAAAGTTTGAACTCCCTTATGCCAGTATTTCTACTATTTTTCAAGAATACCCTTATATGTAGTCCATGAGTATCAGCTCCTGAATTTTGTAACCATTAGGGATTACTACCTACAGACAATTATTTCTGAACTCTTAGAAGAGTTGAAGAAAACAATCATTTTACCAAATTGAGGCATACAATTTGAAGGGAGTGGTGGTACAATAAAATGATTTTGATTGTAAATATTGGAAGAAAGAATAAAAATCTATATCTTTTGACCTCCAGCTGGCAAAAGTAACTTCTAAAGATTCACAAATTTCATTTTCCATTATTTTCTGGACAATACTTTGATTATCTATTTAAACAATTTGCTTTTCTCTAAAGCTCCTGACTTCCATGCCACTCAAGTTCAAACAATTCTTCAATACTTTCTTGTCAGGCCCACTGGAGACCAGACCATGAAATCAACTTCTCAGGAAGGCTAAAAGTACCTTTATTGATATTGGCTGTAATAACAGAAACCTGAAAACCTGATTGTGCTGTTTCTCCTCTTCCTCCTGCTGGTTCAGTGAAGTAGAGATGTCTACCTAAGCTTCTTCCGAAGGTTAACTGGCTATTCTGGACTTTAAAAAAATACTTTAGTTCCTTTTGCCTAAGTAAAAGGTTCTGCATATCTCTATCAAGGTCATCTTCTCTACTCTTTATATCTCATGACTACAGTCTCTAGGCCAAGGGCATCAACTGGCAGTGAGTTTGACACCTGTGCTCTAGGCTAATTTATAAAACTGTGTTGTTGATCACTGTGGAACTATTTGGAATTCATAAGAACCCAGCATCTAAGGTAGTTTATAAGAATTCTACATTTTCGGTCATGTGCAAATTTGGAAGGAGTTTGACCATTTTGATTATAGAATTTGCCCTAATTTTGCTGTTCTGATCACACAATTGAAAAGAATTCCAATGAGATTCTGAAGCGCAACAAGCCTTTTTTCAGTTCAAACAAACATTCATTTCTTGGTTTAGCTTTCAGCATACAAATCCCATTCCAGTACATTCTTTGAAAA